TATATACTACACATAAACCTTCTGAGCATCACAAAAGAATGGATATGAAAGTGCCTTGTAAAAATAAAAGTGCTATACAAACGTACAGTGGCTTTATTCCCGACAGTATCAGATATGCTTGGCAGAGAACAAAGAGCTACATACTGTGACTCAGTCCAAAACCCGCCCCAGCTTACAGACATGGGCTGTGGTGCTGCTCTTTCAGCTTCCTGGGTGTCAGGCTGACTAGGTTGTAGGATTAATGCCCATTTATGCACAGCGAGGGAAAAAGGAGCCTCAGCGAGGGGCATGGAGGAACGCAGAGCCACTTCCACCAGTGGCCTGGATCTGCCTCAGCAAAGGGACAGGGTGTGAAGCCCCCAGCTCACATCTGCACGTCTCCGTCTGCCCTAAGCCCAGGCCCCTGTTCCACAGAGTGAACTAAAGGCCTCATTTCCATTACATCAGTTGGAGGCAAATGCAATAAAAAGTGACCAGTCTGTGCCCCCTCCACACACAGTCCCACCCTTTGAGTAGAGCACCCACCATGTTCCATTGTAAATACTGCTTCCTCCCACCATCCCTCAAAAAAGCCTTAAAGACCACACCCTCAAAGCAAACAAAAGATTTGCTACATGTTTGGGAGTTTGTTTTATCTTTTAAATCCGTGTTCCTGTTCCTCTCCACTATTATGGAAAGGCAGCCGCTAAAGGACACGCCTGTTTATTTAGCAGGTGAACTGTGCACGTTTACCGATTCTCCTAAAGCTCTCGGCCTGCCCACCCACCAGAGCTCCCTGCAGATGTATGACCGAAGGCCTTGTCTGAGCAGCCCCTCCCTGGGCAGGGCAGTAGGTCTTCAGCCACTGAAATGACCCCTCCTCCCTCTTTGTACGAAGGTCTTCTAGGCCCTGAAAGCGGGAGGGGCGGGGGACAGGGTTCAGATTGTTTGTCTTTGCAAACCGCCTTCCTTTCATGGACTTGCTCGTGGCACGTGCGTCTTAGGTAAAGGCTGCGTTGCGAGTTGCTTTATTGGGGGGTTAATTGCTGGGAGCCAAAAGATCCCCCGGCTGACATTTCCAGAGCACCAAGTGGCGTTTCCCTCTTCACTGGAAGGGCTCCACCTTGGCTCCCTCCGCCACTGGCCCCTCCCTAGGGGTTCGAGAAAACCAACCACAACGGCCCCGCGGCGTCCTGCTCTCTGTCCACACGAGGGCGCTCGCTCCACGCCCCACTATGCTGGCCGCCGCGACGCCGGGAAGGTATCTTTGGGAGGGCGGATAGAGCCAAGGCTTGGACACGGCTGTGCAGACCGGGAGCTCAACCTGGGTCCCTTCCTGGTTCCCAGCTGTGCCAGTCCCTAGTCCCTGCGGGGAAGGAGAGGCCACTAGAGGGACGCCAAGAGGTGAGGCTTCCAGCCCTCTTGGGACTGTTGGCTCATCCCCACCCCCTGGAGGAAGAAGACTCAATTCATCGGAGTTGGGCCCCCTGGGAAGTGGGGAGGTGAGTAAGAGGGGAAGGAGGATATGGTCTCCCTCTGGCGTCCCCAGAGCCTACAGAGGAACTTGCCTGGCATACGCTAGGCCTGGAGGGGACAGAACTGCCCCATGGCCCTGAAACACAATTTACCCGCTTCCCCTACCCGCCTGCCTGAAAACGCTAATGCAAACAGTGAACTCAGACAATAATTCAGACAATTAGTCATTTTCCCTGATGGAGGCTGAGAGCCAGGCTTGGCTCTGGTGGAATACCTGGGGTGATTCTTTCTGCTGAGGCTGTAGGGATGGGCTGGCTCAATATTGACAGAAAGGCTTGAAGGCGCAGGTGCCCAGCCCCGGAGACCCCACCACTCCACCCCGAGGACCCTCAGCCCACCCCTTTCATGAACACCCCATGAGTCATGTATTCGCACAGCTGCCAGCTTCTCAGCCCACCACCCCTGGCACAAAGGACCCTGTCCCTGAATGCAGGGACGGACTCTTAAAGCGTGCCTCCCACCTTTGACCAACCAGGGCATAGACAGCAGAATCGAACTCAACCATACAGCGTCCGTCTGCAGTGGTCTCCGACAGAATAGCAGAACACTCCCGGCCAGGCTCTGGGAATGCCAGATATGCCTCCTCTGCCCCCATTTCACTGTGGTGAGAAAGTGGACCGGCCCCGCCCCAAGGCCCTTCTGGCCCTTCCCCTCTCACCACGCCCAGAGGAAAAACACGTCTTTGTCTTCAGAGACCCTGCTAGGACTATCTCTGCCACACTCTGGACTCATCACAGCCTGGCTCAAGCACCATTTCCTTCTCCAAGCCCATCTCAGAACCCCTTTCACGGGGGACCACTTGAGCCTTTCCTTAAGATGGCTTCACCCAGAGTGGGCATCTTTTTCTAATTCACATAAAGGCAACTTAATGAGCTCACAACCGCTTTGTTAGGGTGCATCCGCCATTTTGTGGACCCTCCCACCAGCTCCCCTGGCCTGGTGAGTCACTGAGTCACTCCCAGGGGTAACTGTGAGAAAACCCTCTGGTGGCGATGTAGCACCAAGCAGAGGAGGAAACGGAAATCATTGGGAAGCCAGGACACAGGGATAGATTTAACCAAAAAAAAAATTTATTGTACAATTACCCACCACAGGCCAGCTAGAGGGTGTCTCCACCTTCCCAATTTATTTTCAGCCCCGGAGGATGTCATTGTAGATCATGGCCAAGGCCCCCAGGAAGGTGACATATTCTTGGAAGTTCACCACCTGGTCCTTGTTCCGGTCCAGGTCGTCCATCAGCTTTGCAATTTCAGCATCCTGCAGCTTCTAACGTGTTAGAATGGGAAATCCAGACTCAATGGTTTTGAGACCTTGGGTTCTCTGCCTTTCCCCCTCCCAGGCAGCCCCCTCTCATACAAATGGCTCTGTGCTCACTTGTCACCAAAGATCCAAGCCCACTTTGGGTTCACTTGGCTTTACTTCTCCTCTGTTCCTCACTCAGGAGGAGTGAATACCAGGCTACTAGTTTCCCCAGCCCCTCAGGGGTGTGGACCAGCGGTCCGGTAAGGCACATGGTCTAGGGCCCCAGAATGTGGGTAAGCCTGAGTCATGCACCTGGCACCTCACCCTCTCCGAATCCTGCTTCTAAAGGGCGAGAGGTGGGGAGAGGGGGCCTGGGGAGGCTCACTCACCGTGCCAATGGTGAGCTCCTTCTGGATCAGCTCCTTCAGTTCACTCTTGCTCAGGGTGTTCTTGTCACCCTCCTGACTGGAGTACTTGTGGAAGATGGTCACCAGGAGGCCAATAGCCTGATCCAGGGGGCACGCCATGGCTGAAGGCTGGGCTCAGAGCTGAGGGCAGAGAGGCTGCTCAGAGCCCTGGGTAGCAGGGCCTTCTCACTCACCCACACCCCCCAACTCCCTTTGACTACCCGTGCCAAACCACTAAGTGTCAGGAGACAGCCCAGGGCTTGTAGAGGAGGGAGAGGGCAGAGTCTAAGGCCAAGAGGTGAGTGCCCTACAGAGGACCAGAGCAGAGGTGGTTCAAGAATTCTAAGGAACAAAGAACCACAGCTGAGAACTGTCTTCCAGGGGTTCCAAGAAAAGTTGGGGAATATGTTGTGAGTGAGGGTGGAGGCTGCACACCCAGCCCTACACACACACAGCCTCACAGGACCACACACTGCGGCACGGACACACCCCGGGACACACTCTCCCAACCCCAGAAGGGCCACAGTGGGGAGCCGCCCCACCGGATGCCTTAGCCCGGGGCCGGCCCGGCCGCTCCCGCCTCTCCCTGCCGGCCCCAGTCTGGATGCGGGCGGACTAACCCGGGGCGGGCCGGCCCCGAAGGACGGGGGCTGCCCTGCCTAGCGAGGACTCACCGCGGCTGCAGCGAAGCGAGAAGGAGCGGCCGAGGGGGATGGCCGTGTGGCCAGCCCGCCAGCCTTATAGCGGCGCTTCCGGGAGGCCGGCCGCCCACTGCCCGCCCGCGCCCCACCCTGCCCGCCCTTTACACAACATCCTCGCCCCAAAACTTTCCACGCCTCCTGCCCCGGGGCTGTTCGGGGCTCCGCGGGGCGGGGGCGCCGAGGGGAGACCGCGGCCAGCCCAGTGACCTCGAGCTCCCACCTAATCTCCAAAACTCAGTTTGCCCCCCCGTCGCGATGTGACAAGAGGAGGAGGCCGAGAGCCGGGCAGTGTCAGAGTGTGTGTGTGTGTGTGTGTGTGTGTGTGTGTGTGTGTGTAGGGGAAAGGGCGGGGAGAAGGGTGCCGCTCCCCGGCGCCGGGGGAAACGGGGGCGAACCCTAGATGAAGGACGGGGAGCAGCCAGTGGTCTACAGGATACGATTTAAAGGACACCTAGAACACACATCCCCCCAGGGGAAAATACCACCACCCTCGATCCCTTCCCCCATCCCCCCACCTGAATTCCACCCGCAGCCTCTTGCCCATTAAAGTGCGCACACACACCAGAGTCAAGCCCTGTAAGTGTCATTAGTTATTTACCCTCCAATGCAAAGTCTGTCAGATCCTCTCCCAAGAAAGGATTTTGATACGGAGAGGGAGGTGGGGAGAGCAGAAAGCCCTGGATCCCAGAGATGATGGTAGGGCTTGTTGCTGGGGGGGAAACGGAGGAGAAGGAAAGGGGGCCGGTGTGCAGGTCAAGGCCAGACTCCCCCTTCTTACCAGTGTCCTCAGTGGGGGCCTCCTGTGAGCTGGTGGCAAGTCAGAGTGGCCTGTCCACCACTACCCTCAGGGACCGCACCCCAGCCACCCCCAGTGTCCTCACAGAGCACTTTCCCCCTTAGCTTTCTCTGCATATTTGCAGCACTCCCTGGAGGCAAGCAAAAGCCTGGCCCCACTTCCTCATTTTCCTGGAGGGCCAAACTAAGCCTGGATAAGATTAGTCACGTCTGCACTGAAGAACAGGAAGTGGGGTGGAAACCCAGAAAGCTGCCCACCCACTTAAGGAGAAGCTCTGCCTGGTCCCACCCCACCCCCAGCCAAGGTGGACAAGAATGTTCCAAACCAGCCCTGGACGCCTGGAATCAAAAACCTTTATTTCCTCTGCTGGAAGGGAAGGCTGAAGCAGGGTCCATCTGGGAGGGAGAGGAAGGCAAGGGGCTACGGAGGGTCTGTGAGAGGAGCTGCAGGGGCCAGGGGCCAGGGCCCAGTCATTGGTTGTCCGCCAGGAAGAAGTCGTTGTAGGCCACACACAGCGTGGTTGGGAACACCGAGTACTCCTTTTTTTGTTTGTTTTTTTGTTGGTTTTTTTAATAAATTTGTTTATTCGTTTATTTATTTTTGGCTGCGATGGGTCTTCATTGCTGCGCACAGGCTTTCTCTAGTAGTGGCGAGTGGGGGCTACTCTTCATTGCAGTGCGCGGGCTTCTCATTGTGGTGGCTTCTCTTGTTGCAGAGCACAGGCTCTAGGCACGCGGGCTTCAGTAGTTGTGGCACACAGCTCAGTAGTTGTGGCTTGTGGACTCTAGAGTGCAGGCTCAGTAGTTGTGGCACCCAGACTTAGTTGCTCCACGGCATGTGGGATCTTCCAGGACCAAACACGTGTCCCCTGCACTGGCAGGTGGATTCTTAACCACTGCTGCATTAACTGTAATAATAACATAATGACTACCTTATAGGCCTTTCCCTTTGTCAGTTGCTTCCCTCCCACCATCTCCATCTGGTAAGAATCTGTTCTTCCCCCTTCCAAACTGTGTTCACAAACTAGTAGAAGGATCCTTTTGGTTCCCGTGTCAGCACCAGCTGAGAGCCCCAGACGTGCCGGGTACATAGAGGAGAGCCAGGCAGGGGCCCTGCCCTTGAGCTGTGCACAGCTGACCTGGACCCCTGAATCACCTCGCCCACCCCCACTCCATCCCTTGCACAGCCTCCACAGCTGTGAGAGCCATGCCTCAACATGCAAGTTTCCTTGATCTCCTTCTCTAAACCTTCGTGCACGCTGAGGTCCACCCTCCAGACACTGCCCGTCTCCATTCCCAGTGAGACCTGACTCATCCCCAGGCGCGGCCCAAGATGTTCACCCTCTTCCTTGGGTCTCTGTCTGTACCCTTTGGCCATCCTGTCCTTGCTGAGACTAGTGTAGCCTGCGGGTAGGTGTGTATCCCCTCATGCTGGGCCTCCCACCTCATGCTGGGAAGCCCTCGGGGGTGGCATCAGTGCTTCCTCTTTTTTTCCGTCCCCTCCCCCACAGTGCCCACGGAGCACGGAGCACTGGGACTCTGGGGTGCAGGGGAGGGACCGACACCTACCTCACCAAGACACAGGTCTTTCTCGATCAGTTCCTTCAGCTCCTTCCTACTCAGAGTCAGTTTGCTGCCCTCTCTCCCTGAATATTTATGGAAAGTGGTGACCACAGTGGTCAGGGCCTTCTCCAAAGACGTCTCCAGCATGGTGTGCAGTTCTGGGGGCTGAAGGGAAAGGAAAAGATCCCATTGCCCAGGAAGCTGGACCTTCTGCTTCCCCCCAGCACTAGCCCACCTCCAAGCCTCTCCCTCAAGGACCAGCTACTGGAACCCACGATGAGATCAAAATCTACCAAGCGGACCCCAATGTCTCAGGACAGGCTGTAGTGAGAACCAAGGCAGACTTGGATCAGCCGGAGCAGTGAGACTGACCAGGCCGGAAGGACACTGCACACTCTCCCACTTAGGAGATGTTGAAAAAGGGGCCTAGGGACAGAGGGGTGACAGGATGGCCTCCCCAAAAGAAGAACTGGTGACAGATGGTGGAGCCAGTGAAGGGTCAGGATTTTCTCCCTGCCCGATCCATCTTGGGCACTCATTTTCCAGAGGCCGTCCTCACCCAAGTCACCCTCCTCGGCCCGGGTCCCTGAATCACCTAATATCAGGGAGTGTCCCATTATAGAAGTGGGGGACAGGGCAAAGAGAGAGTCCAGGGGTTGGAGGAGGCTGGGGCTGGAACTGGAAGGTAAGATCTCAACAGGAAGTCGGGGAGGGGTGCCAGCACTTGTCCAGCTGGTCACCAGCCTCTGGCCCAGAGAACTGTACATACAGACCAGCCACGAGGCAGTGAAGGGGGTGGGCCTATTGAAACCTCCAGGGTCATTCTGAGAGCTGGATCCAGAGGTTGGGTCTGAATGGGGCCCCGCAGTCCATCAGCACAGCCACACCCGCCCAAGAGAAGAAGCAGCTGGAGCTCCTGTGACTCAGACTTGGAAACCACTTCCCTCTTAGGCAGGAAGGAGCCAACACCCAAGAACCTGGGGGCTACAGGTAAATCTGTGTTGAGTCCGGAGCAAGGAAAGGAGGAAGAAGCTGCTGCCTCTTACCTACAGACCAAAGCCCACCTGACGATTCTTGAACTGGACCTGAAATTCATCTCTTACCACCCCAAACCCTCAGCCTCTCCCCACTGCCTGGAGACTCAACCAGGACCACAGTGGAAGGCGAGGCCTCTGGGCATCTGCAGCAGCATCCTGGCTGGTTCTGATCCCCACCTCCACCCCCAGGGCCACGATTCCAAATACTCTGCCCTCTTCTCTCCAAACACGTGCCCACTCATCGGTCCCGGCCTTCCTTGGCGGAGGTCACCAGAGCTAGTCACCCTGTGGCCTCATCGCCCAGCTTGCCCCACCATATAAATGAGCAGGGAGATGAGAAGGACTCACCAAGGAAGGAGAGAGCCAGAGAACTCACGCAGCAGAAGCAGGCTCCCTCCCGCTGGTCTCTGACTTTAATTCCCTTGCTCCAGTCCCCAGGGAACCAGGGAAGAGAGAGGGCCAATAAGAAGGGGCCGGAGACAAGGAGGCCCAGGTCAGAGCCTCCTGGGACACAGGTGGGGAGAAACCCCCTCTGCCAATCTCACCTTCCTTGTTTCCAAACAAGGATGGGACGAGGGGGCACACTGAGTTTACCACGGCACACACGTCTTCAGTCCTGGAAGCTTTGTCTTCCCAACCAAAAATCAGAACTCACCATCTGATGGGTCAACAGCCAGGCTCCCTGGAAAGAAGATTCAGGAGGTACGGGACAAATGCAGGGTGTCCACCCATACCCTAGGCCACTCTCCACATTGGGGCCCTCCCACCCACTCCAAAAGCAGAACGGACATCTCAAGATGGGAATCAGTGGGGGAAGATGTTTCCTGCCAAGGGCATAGTCAAGGTCATCAGCAAGTATGGAGCCTAAGATTTTTAAAAGGCTTTTCAATGAATGATTTCTTCTAAACCTCACTCATCACCATGGGAAAGAATTGTCAGAGACTCTTGGAGTGGAGAGCTGAGAATCAGGGACTGAGGCAGAGATCAGGGAAGGATAGGGCTGGGTGATGGGGTAGAGGCTGTGGACTGTGGGGAACTGGTTCAGGGTGCAGAAATGACCAGGGTGGGGATCAGGGAGAGTTGCTTGTATCCTAGGAGAGACTCAGACATTGTTCTACCACCAACCAGTCCAAGTATGAGAAAAGAATGGAGCTAGGGGCTTAGCACCTATTGCTGCTGCAGCCCCACCCTAGCCTGCCTGGGTGGTCCCCACTGCCCCCCACTCCACTCCCACCCCCAGCTGCCAAGGTAGAGAGGCAGCAGGGACTGGTCGCTAAGCAACAGGAGTTTCCGAAGTAGGGAGTGATGCAGGAGGAGGCCCAGGGGAGGGCACTCCGTGGAAGATGGGCAGACTGGGGCTGGGGGGAGGGAGAAGGGGGAAGTGGCAAACTCTTTCCTGGATCAAAATTCTACCCAAGTCTCTATAGTCACACTCTGAGGGAACATCTGAGTCACCTACCCCACTCCTCTGAAACTTGAGACAAAAACACAATGTGATGAGAAGGAAAGGGGAAAGCTAGAAAAGTCAAGGGAACCAGACCTTCCCTGCCTCTGGACCTGCCCTCTACTCACCTCTTCCTTGAAGATCCCTGTACCACCCAGGCATGACCTGGAAACTAACCACAATCCCACCCACTGCAGGCTAGAACTGTTGGCTTCAACCTAAGGAGAACTAATACCATGCCTGATATTTTCTGGGGGGAAAAAAATCTCAACTTCATTTATCGGATCCCTATGCCGGGAATTTTGTCTCCAAAACTATGGTCACCTCCCACCACCTCCCTCCCTCCCACCCCAGCCACTATCCTCCCCTCATCCCTCCCAAGATCCTTTGTCCTCCTCTGTTGGAGCATGACTGCTAACTGGTAATGAATCCCATCCTAGGGCCCCTGGGACAGAGATGGGCGTTAGGGAAGGATGATATTCTCATGCTGTGGTTTCTCTTCCTCCACATCACCTCCTTGATCTGACTGTGGAATGGTAGGATTCATCCATCCCTGGGCTTTGAAGCCAGGGCACTGGAAGGGGTGGCAGGCAGCACCTGGGCCGTAAATGTCAGGACTGAGCCTTCCTCCCCATCCCACTGTGGCCTCACTACTTCCTCCCCATGACTCAGCCCTTCCCCCACCAACCCCCCACCCCCAGGGCACCCACACTCCATTCCGGACCCCAACCAGGAGCAGATGTGATCTTCGATCCCATCCCAGCCTCACTCAGAGGTCCTGCCAGAGGCAATGTTGGGGAGGTGGGATGGTTGAGTGCCCTGGCTAAGATCCCACCGTTCCAAGCCTCTGGGGGTCCCTTTCCCTGCCTTCCGCTCCATCCACAGTCAACTCTGTCCCCCACACGTGTGCACAGTCACCCACATCCATCTCCCACCTTCTCTGGTCTGCTCTCCACTTGCCACAAAACCGCAGCTCAACTCCCAGCGCCCCCAGAGTCTCTCAGACCATCAGCCTCATAGCTTTCAAGAATCTTTATTGAACTTGTTTAGTATCGTGCTCACATCTGGAGAAACCAGTGTGAGGCGCTGTGCCCACCGCCAACAGGGAAGACCCCAGCTTGCAGGCCCCGCCCCGCACATCTGAGGAGACTTCATTTCTTCCGGGGTTGCTTATCGGGGCAGCCTTCGAAGAACTCGTTGCACATCATGGCGATGCAGGCCAGGAAGACGCAGTACTCCTGGAAGTCCACCTCGTTGTCCTTGTTGCTGTCTAGGTTGCTCATCAGCTTCTGGAATGCAGCTTCATCTGTCTTTTTCTGCAGGAAGAAGAGGCTGCAGGTAGAAACTAGAAGTCGGGGCCGGGCAGGGCAGGTGTGGGAGTGGCCAGAGCTAGGACTAGACCAGGTTTGCACCTCCAGATGGGAGCCCAAGGAGGCTTAGCCACTCCTTGGGGGACCCAGCTTTGGACCTCTAGCCCTGGGGGCTAGGCTAGAGCTGGAGGAAGGCCACCCCTCAGACAAAGAAGTCTTGAGTACCTGGGTACAACTGGATAAAGGGGACCACAGCATCTTCTGCCAAGGTCATTTTAAGAATCCAATTAGACAATGGTCATGAAAGCAATGTATAAACTGCATAAAGGTTGATACGGATGGCATCTGTGATTGCTCAGGGGGAGTCTGTAGGTGTATGAGGGTCTCCATAACTGTGTCTTCACATCCACAAGCCAAATAGAAACTCAAAAATGGTTTGGGGTTGGGGGGATAAATTAGGAATATGGGATTAACAGATACACACTACTATATATAAAATAGATAAGCAACAAGGATTTACTGTATAACATAGGGAACTATATTCAATATATTGTAATAACCTATAATGGAAAAGAATCAAAAAATATATATGTGTATATATAACTGAATCACTTTGCTGTACACCTGAAACTAACACAACATTGTAAATTAACTATACTTCAATTTAAAAAAAAAAGAAGACACACAATTTTCATACAATCGTAAAAAAAAAAAAATTGTTCATTGCTGTAGTGATGGCAAGCGTCGGAACGTCCTGGCTCATGGACCTCGGCTTTATACACTGACTACCTTGGAAAGTTACGTAGCCTCTCTGAGCTTCAGTTTACCTCCAGTTAAGTTGTGCAAACACCTGGCAGAGTCTGACCCGTAGCCTACCAGCTTGTTCTCAGCCATCTTTCTGCAGAGAGCCAGGAAGTGAGCAGTGGGTGCTCACTGTGCTTCCACCCCAGGCAATCAGAGCAAGCTCTCTGCCCCGACTTGCCCGTCTCAGCAAGATGGCTGATGGACAGATATAGACGCCAGCTGTAGCTAATGCTTCGCAGAAAACAGGTGCCTCCCAGGCTGTATCACTCACCCCCAAGAAGCTGGGCAGCTCCCGGGTCAACAGCTCCTTCAGCTCAGACTTGTTGAGCTTGAACTTGTCACCCTCCTTGCCTGAGTACTTGTGGAAGGTGGACACCATCACATCGAGGGCCTTCTCCAGGGGGCACGCCATGCCGGCAGTCAGGATCTGGGGGCAGGGTCACAGAGACACCCTAATTTTCCCCACCCCACCCCCGGCTATGTATTCAGAATGCCCACCCCAATCCCATCCCTCAGGGAGCACTTGGTGCTCCCACCATAGAGGCAGCCCAAAAAGTGGGGTTCGGCTCCTGGCGGATGGGTGTGCACAATGGGAAATCCGTGCTTGGGGCAGCGAACCCCTGCAGGGCCCGGGGCACAGGCTCTGCGTTTCGGACAGCCAGCTCCACAAGAGCGCTTTCTTCACCCCTCACGCGGCCCATTCACTCCCACGCTCAGTCTACAGCAGCCCCACCCCAGCCCATTCTTCTCCCTCCAAGCGTTGGGCTGGGTCGTTGGGCTGGGCGAGGCTGCTGGCAGCCTGCCCAGGGCCCTGTAGCGGAAAAAAACAGTGGCCTAGCGCCTAGCGTGGGGAGGGGCAGGGTGAGGTGGCAGGGGCACAGATGCAGGAGGGATGGGGAGGCCACCCTCCCTTGGGTCAGGCTGCTGCGTGCAGGGCACAGCCTCCTAGGACACAACCAGACAAAAGCCTGCAGTCGCCTCCTGCCTTCACTGTGCTTCCTACGCCCCGTGAGTGTGCACGCACAGGCTAGGGCAACCCAGCAAACACAAGCCAACATGCATACCCCCTAGTCACACGCACCCCAAAACATACTACAGCAACAACGCGTGCAAGCCCCAGAATCACAGGACGGCTCCGATAGCTCCCCCTCAGCCACCTGCACACTTTTTGTTTTTTCTCTCTTGCATGCACACACACGTGCACGTGCACACACACACATCCCTCCCCAGAGCCTCCACATCG